ATTTTTATTAACACATTCCATGCCAATAAAAATCTTTACTTTTTAGTAGTATTGTAAAAATTGATATAAGATTTAATCCAAATATGTTATTATATTAAGTGGTTATTATGATTTATACAACTGTATTTACTACTTTTTATTATAACATTGAGTCAATGAAAACTGTCATATACATAATCAGAGTTTCAAAAATATATATATACAGTGTGTTAATGGGTTTCTTAATATTATTTTGTATATACATGATTTAAACATTTTTACTTTAATTTTTGTAATGTTTATTATCTTGTTATTATATTAATTAATGTATTTCAGTCTATTTGTAAGGAAGCTCCATTCAGTGATGAACCTGAAGCACTTGTTGAAAGGAATGCATGTGATTATAATATTCGTATAACATTGAAAATGGCAAAAAGTGGTAAAGGTTAGTTTAAGTGGGTAGTAGTCAGGTAAAAACATTAAAGTTTTGTTTGAAATGTTTATTAATAACATAATATTTATTTTAGCCCCTAGGAAAGTCAGGGTATACGCAGATGGTATTTATGATCTCTTTCATCAAGGACATGCACGACAACTCTTACAAGCAAAAAACATTTTTCCTAATGTATATCTGATTGTTGGAGGTATGTGTAATAAATATAATTTTATTATAGTATTTGAAATATAAATATAATATTGAGTATAAATGTGTTTTAAATGAAATATATTGTACAACTGTGCAATGAAAAGAAAAATAAATAAATGATAAAAGAGAGATACTTGCATTATAAAATCTCTAGTCTAATTCGTTTATATTTGTTTATATTTTATAATTGTATTAATATTAATTTATATTTATTCCCTTTTATTACTTTCAAATACTATATAATTTTTATGATTTTACAGTTTGTAATGATCAACTTACTCATAGCAAAAAAGGTAGAACAGTCATGACTGATGATGAAAGGTATGATGCAGTGCGACATTGTCGATATGTAGATGAAGTAGTTAAAGATGCTCCATGGGAATTGGACGATGAATTTCTTACAAAACATAAGGTATAATTCACTATGAATAATTCCTATGTCAAAACATGTATGAAGTATCGGTAGTTTAATATTCAACATTATAGATTGATTTTGTTGCACATGATGACATACCTTATATGACGGATGATAGTACAGATGTATACGCTGCATTGAAAGCAAAAGGTATGTTTGTAGCTACACAAAGAACAGAAGGAGTATCCACATCAGATATTGTAGCCAGAATAGTTAGGGATTACGATATTTATGTAAGAAGAAATCTTGCACGAGGTTACAGTGCCAAAGAACTTAATGTTTCTTTTCTCAATGTATGTAACTAATACTACAGTGCAAAATCTAATTGCAATAGTTTGTACTAAGTTGTTTATAATTGCAGGAAAAGAAATTTCGGTTGCAAAATAAATTTGACGATTTGAAAGATAAGGGTAAACGTGTAATGGAGAACATTGGTGAAAAACGTATGGATATGATCAGCAAATGGGAAGAAAAATCTCGAGATTTTATTGATGCTTTTCTATTGCTATTTGGCAGGGAGGGCAGATTGGTGGGTATTATTTATAGAAACATTATTTTGTACTTAGTATTAAAATACATTGCAAAATATGCATTTATAAAACAATAAACAATATACCAATTAATTGACAATTTCCTCCCCTTTTTTAATCGAAGTTAATAATTGTAAAATTTTTGTAATAAAATATTTAAAAAATAGAAGTGTTCAAAAATATTGTGTGTACACGCGTATATATGTAATTGTATAATAAGCATTATATTATATCTTTATTATCATAAATTAATAAGTTTTTATCTTTTATTACTTACAGTCGACAATTTGGAATGAAAGTAAAGGTCGTCTGATGCAAGCACTATCTCCTCCTGCAAGTCCAAAAAGGGATGGTAGTCCAAATAGCAGTAATAGCAGCAATAATGATGAAGATCAAACAAGGTACATCACAGCATTCAAGTCAATTGATTAATATGCAACACCACTTCATTCTGTAACGCTTCCATACGAAAACCTTCAATACTTCACACCACCCACTTGCAGCATGTTATGTTAGTATACTATCCTATGTTAAGTCAAATGAAAATAGTATATAATAATAAATAGCTTTTCTTATGCTTATCATTAACACTCTCATAATCGTCAATAGGGAACCAACTCGTTTTAACCAACTTGCAATTTGTGCTATAACATTACATTATAAAAATGCTTATTTACTTTAAAAGTACCAAAAAATGATCTATGTATGTTCCATAATATAGATAATGTAAATCATTTCAATTTCTCAGTAAAGTTTCTTTATTTTTATTAACGAGAAAAGGAAAGAAATTAACACTTCAGCATATAAATTATATTCTAAGTTTACATAAAAGGAACCATTGACAATTATGCAAGTAAAAAAAATGCATTCAGAGTTTATTTATTTCTTTGATTTAAACTGTGCATCACAAGTTATTTCTGCGAATACAATATGAATGTAAAATTTAATAATATATCTATATCTGTTACTTGCGAATGAAAATATATTCAACTAATGTATTTATTTTACTTTACAGTCCACCACCAAAAAAGACTGGCCGTTTTGAATTCTCAAGAAGTAGTTACTACTTAAGTGATGATTATAGTGATGATGAAGAGGAAAATTTACGCTCCAAATGATAATACATTTTTTCACATTAGTTTTTTTGACCAAAAAATAATGTGTAACCTCTTCAAAAATGTTTAGAGACATTTTCATACAGTCGAGTGAACTACTGATATGAATTACAATGCTATGCTTCATAGGCTTTGTATAGCATCATTTCATACTGTTCACGGCATAAAACTTCCTGTTACGGCGTAGAAACATTTAATCCAATTATGGATTATAATATAAAGATTAGAATATGTATTATGATTATACATTACTATGATTACATTATTCAGAAATCATAAATTATTTAAAACTTCTGTTGCAACTGTTTCGAAAAATGTTTATTACTGTAACTTGCATTCTTAACTCTAAGTTCCTATGTTTAAAACAATTTTATTATGTATTTTAAATTTAATACTTTATCACGGAGTAAAATAATGTATTCTTTTATACTGCAAAACTATGTTAATTCAAATATCTGGTTAACAATTTTTAGTAATTTTCAATTATTTCATTATTAATTTTATAACATTTTTTTACAAATTACATTGCTATTAATTACTTAAAT